AAATCCCATGCATTAAAGATCTAAAGTAAAGATCACTAATAATCAACATAGATTGCTATCAAGAATAAACAATCCTGAAGAATAAAGAGGACATCAAACTCTGTGGAATGGCAGAAACTCCAGTGTATCCAGCCTCTGTCTTCAGCACCCTAACATGTGACAGACCCACAGAGACAGTGAGAAATGCGGTAGTAGTGTAAAATGAGGTTTTGATCCACTACCTAGCCTTCAGCAGAGCTGGGCATGCTCAGTAGGCCTGCCAGAGGGCCAGGCTCCTGCTTTGGCCTACTTCTGATAATACCAATAATGTCATGGAAAGTTCCTTCGCAGTGGATGAGACTGTTTATCTGACAGACAATGTGTGACAGAGAGAAATGAGCATGGCCTAAATACAGGGGCTACAATTCAATAAAATAAACAAAAAACAGAAAAAAAATTACAATTATTGACCCATCTATATAGACTTTTCAAACCACAGACACAGAGTTGTTGAAAAAGCACCTTTTCAAATTGCTGCTGAAGAAGAAGGACTGTCATTAAAAATCAACAGAGAGATGGGGAGAATGGCAGCATATAAGTGGCAAAGTAATGAAAGGCAATACAGAGTCTGCCGAGCTCTAGTTGCTCCAGTCCCGGGGCAGAAATCGCTGCTAGCGTGAGCAAAGCAACGGGACAGCAGAGCCTCAATCGCCCTGATACAAATGATTATAGAGGAGATGACCAACAGAAGTGGGTCAGCCGCAAAGGAGACGGACCAAGACAGGAAGAAAGACTCGAAGGGCGTCTGAGGCTGAGGGAGTCGATGCAAATGTAGGTCCGCAACTACTAAAATAATCCACGTTGGAATTTACAATGAGAGGGATTTGTGGGCTAAACCCTGTTTGTTTACAACATAGAGACTCAGTAATAACGGTGTATTTACCGTTGTAAGAGAGGCACCTTATAATTACATGTAAATTTGTTGATTGGATCCAAAATGTGCTCTCAGGCAGAAAGTGGAAAACCACTCAGTGTGTGCTTTGGAATACTATCAACTGCAGGCATCAGGAAAGCAAACAGCAGATGAGTCAACACTGGAAAACACATTGCCAGTGCATGTCACTCTTTCCGGTTAGGCTCAGTCCCTTAAAAAAAAAAAACTCATAGAACTTTTAACACTTTTAGCCCTGCTAACTGTTTCAGAAAAACAAAAACTACACTGCAAAAATAAAAGACATGCACAGAACATGATGGGAATAAAAGGTTCTGCACGCACACAGTAAGAGACAAATCAGATGTCGTGCTAAATGCTGAATTCTGCAAGAACTAGATGGGTTGCAGCTTCAAAACGTCAACCCAACTGCTGTCTAGTCAGCAGGCTTAATCCAAGTCAGCAGATACACACTGAGTACACAGACAAGCAGGGGCAAACTTGGAAAACATGCTGACACAGAACACAAATGCTCCACATTCAAACAGAATCATGAGCGCTGAGCATTTTAGGCCACACATCCTAAGGAGCGCTGAATAAAAGTAGAAGACTGTTTTGGTGGTGTTTGCGGTGAAATTCATTTGATATAAATCTGTGAAAAGCAGGGACTTATTTACTTTTGCCCCAACAAAGTCCCAGCCAGTTCCTTGTTTTCCTGACATTTTGGTCTGCCTCTCTCTGGGGAGTGTTTCTGAATGAGGTGTTTGTCCCCTGCCTCACCTTTCACATTCATCAGATAATCAGGACACTGGATCTCCTCGAAATTTGAATTCCGATTCTGGTGTACTGCTGCTGTGGTCATGTTGTAGCTGCTGATTAGCGAGGTTTACCCTCCGAAGCTCGTGTTTAAACAAGCCTCCGCTCCTGGGCCATGTGTCTTCCTGAATGCATGTATGTATGAAACCTATGTAAAACCTAGCATCCCCATCTAGCCAGCTTGAGCAACTTTAATCTTCACATGTTCTCCAGAAAATAAGCCCTGCTCTGCTTTTAGGTCACCTCATTTCACCAATAAACATTACAAATAAACACTGAGAAACTGTGTATTTGTGGCATGCTGTATAGTCTCTTCCAAGCTCCAGAGCATGGCACAACATGACCCCACTGGAGTTTCTAACATCCTGATTCGATATTGATTTAACAAAACCTAGCTAATCCATAGTGGAAATAGGAGCGATCAATGCTACTCTAAAACAAGAGTGGCGTGTGTGTAGAGAAAGGCGTGGCCAACAAATTTAGGACAGCTTCCTGTCTGGGCACTCAACTGAGTTAGCCGCTCTGTGCCAGTGGAGTCTGGTTAGTTAGTGTGTCTTCCTAGTGTGGCTTCAGATTCGAGCACTTCTCCACCTTTAAATCTGGAGGATGGAATTTTTCTGTCTGAAATGTTTTCCGAAATATCACAAGTTATCTATAAAAAAACAGGCGCATCAGAAGGCGCAGCCACATTTTGACCTGTTTTACAGGGAGTGCCTCCTCTTGGGACACCCACTGGTGCGTTTGTAGGTGCAGCTGCATTTCTCAAAACCTACGAGAAAAAGGATAATAAGCCACTTCTGCTGGGTTTCAAATCAAACTCCTTCTCTGCTCGACACGCCTACGACCAAACAGTTAAATCCAGATTCTCATGGTGATGCAGAAGGATGATATTGTTCCATAAATGCTCTGCAACTTCCATGGCAGTCTCTTCTGAATTTTGTGGGCTGCTGGTCCCTCCTTGTCCCAGCCCTTTAACCAACAGCTGCACGAGTCCGGTGCAGAGTTGTATGAGGTCTCAAAGGCAATACATCAACATGGACAGCCGCAAAAAAACTTAAGAGTTGGGAGGAAGAAAAAAAGAGAAAGCAGCTACCACAAGTACAAATACAATATAATCTACAAATGTACACATGGCAGTTTCCACTGAAGGCAGAGTTAGCTGATTGTGAACATAAATGTACTAATTAATGCTCCTACATTTGGCAGGCCAAAGCTTTTTATTTGAACAGTATATATTCTAAAGTGCCACTTAGAAATGAAAGATGAAGGGGAGAAGTGTTGTTTTTTCTTTTTAATTGAAAAGCTTGTTTTCATAATAATTAGTTCCAATGTTCCAACTCTGTGAGATTAGAGATGTTCTGTTATGGCCCAAACCCAACACTGCCCTCCAATGGCCACAGTGCTTCTCAGTTTAAAGAATTGTAATATAATAATAATAATAAAGGGTCCATATGAATTCAACAGTAACTAACAAAGCTGCTTAAACGGCCTCAGGATATTTCTAGTGGGAAAAGGTTAAATTTAGTCAATCTTTTATTCCTTAGACACTTAAAAGCATCTTGCATAGAAAAGATGCTAATGAGTAGGACACATTCAACTATAAGCCAGAAATAAGATCAATGTATATCTAATTCATAATGTTACCAGTAAACACAGAATCAAAATGTTTAATCAGAAATCCCCACAACTGGCTCACTGTGTATGCGTGGGCTGTGCTGCGTTGGCGCCCTCTGCTGGTTAAATTCATATTTGGAGAAGTCATATCACAAAATGAACCATCTATAACTGGAAGACTGGATCATATCAGTACATATTCATAAAGGTAACCAGATTTTTTTCCCTATCACAGATGCTTGGGAAAACATCTGTATCTGGAAGAGAAGTCTCACAAATAGACACAATTCAGCAGGCATTTCCCTCAAACCCACTTTTTAGTGCATTGGCTATAATAGGTGAGGAATCAAACTTAGAGAAAACCTTTTGACAACTGCTAAGATATGTGTTGCAATAAAGGTAAATTCAGAGAAAACTTTTAAATAACAACAATTCATCGTTGTATTCTTTGTATCTTCAAGTACTTAGCAAATACAGCCTTTTTCCAATAATAACTTCATTTTAAATGTCTCTGGGGATCCCAGGTGCCATCTTAACACGGAGCATCATTTCTGAAGGACTGACTAACCTCAGACTGTCCAATAAAGACTGAATTAGCTGGTCCAGGTCCATTAGAGTCACTGAACTCCTCATTTTGGGATGCTTTGATTTCAAGCTGCTGCTTCACCTGCTATCACTGTACCGCCCACCTCTGGTTGGCATCAGCACAAGCTTCTGAGGGGTAAATCAGTGGGAAGAAGAGGACTGCAGCATCACTTAAAACTCCAGTTTTCCCTCTGTCTGATCTTCCTCAACAGGAACACTAAATAATTACACAGGGTGGATACACAGGGCTGAAGCTACAGCGGCTTTACATTTAAATAACAAAGGGCACTCTGAAGTCCTGCTTTGGCTGTCCAGGGCTCAGCTGTGCTTTGATCAGAAATCCAGACTGAGGACACACTGCCATGCTGTCAGTGAGTAGAGACCAAATGACTTTCAGCCCTAAGGGTTTCTCACTTCAGTACATTTGGGCCCGCAAACTAATCTTGTCTTTCGTTCTTACTTATGAGCAAAAGAGGCTTTTCAACTTTTTAAAACACAGTGAGCGCTGAATTTCATGTGAAATCTGCTTACAGATGGAGGGTTTGTCAGTGTCTCTTGTGTCCTTTTTATGTTTTGGAAAATCAAAATAAATATGCATTTTTATGGTCAGTTGGCAGCACCTCAATGAACAGAAATGTGTAAGCAAAGTAAGGTTACATCAGAATAAGAAAAACTTCGACATGTTTTCTTTACTATTCTTTAACTTGTCAACAGAAATATCCAAATTTTCCAAATATTATCCGACTAGTATTCTAACAAAAAAAAAGGGAAAGCCAGACGTGCAACTCAGTCCTGCACTGACAGCATGTGAACAGATTCTTGACAGAGCTATGTGATACTGCGTTGCCTTATTAAATGGCTGTCTGAGCCTGCAGACAGTTGAGCAATAAGGTGGGATTTCACATCCTAACGCACACCCCACCTCTGAAATGGGTGTGACTTTTAGAGACTACAAAAAAACCTAGAGAAAAAAAATCTCAACATCAGGCGGCATTATGTTAACTGACCGACAAGAGATTGCAAATCTGTGATAATCTTTTATTCTAACAAGCGATACCTCACTGCTTACGCCTACCTTAGGCCGCATTAAGTCACCGCTGCCAGTGAGGATGAAAATGACATTGCTGTGGAATAAAGTATCAATTTCGGGCGCCATAAAGTGTTGTCGCGTTGAGCACACAAAGGACCAAACCTACAGTCTAGACAGCTCATACTGACGCTGATAAGTCAGGCACAATTAACAGGAGCGGCCGAGGCACAGCGATGCTCAGTGCTCTAAGGAGTGGTTTATTTAATCAGGTTTTCAAAACCTGCTCTGTTTCAAAGTAAAGGGAGTGTTTTAAGACTAAAAAAGCCCTTGAGATTGAAACAATTTTGGTTAAAAAAAAGCTATTGGTCTTAGACTGATGGACACATTTGGAGGAGAAAGTTCCAATCCCATGGCTTAAGGTGTGTGGACTCCCAGAAATCTGAACAGATGTATGTGTATGTTTGTGTGCGTGTGTGTGTGTGTGTGTGTGTGTGTAAAGAGCACCAGAGTCTCCCTGTTTAGGTTTTACTGAACAGGAAACACTATAACCAAAATATACAGCTAGCTGTGTCTTGGTCACTCGTGAAGCCTTGAGCACAGACGGGTTTGGCTCCATGAAAGCAACAATCGAGCCTAATAAAGCAGGTGTTGACACGACTGACGCAGCAGCTCAGAAAGGAGCACAATTCAAGCTGATGGCTGTTTGTTGTTTATCAAAAAGCTGCATCCCAGTCACAGCTGACCCTCTCTCTCATCACACCACTATGTACACGGGCTTAAAGAAACAGGCACTCCCTCACACAGCTGGTCTCCTCTATAATGACCGAAATCTGAGAGCAGGAGCTTTACGACTGGGTAAACATGAACATTTTAGAAAATTGAAATGAAAATTGAAAAAAAAACACAACAACTTTAGACATTTCCTGAACTTGTTCAAGGTAATTTTTCGCAGATATGTCCATCTCTGAATTACTTCAGACACACCTACGATATGGACAGAACATGAAGAGAAGTGGTGGTGATAGATGACAACATTTGGAACTTTTCTACAGGCCTTAACTTGTTGAAGGAAAGAACTCTGGCTGCCTTCAAACTCTCAGAGGTTTCATTCCACCTACAGTGATAAAGTGTACAAGTCAAATCTGAAAACAACTTTATCTTTCACTTGACCTGGATTCGCTTGCACTGCTGTCTCTTCCCTGTTCACAGAGAGTGTTAGACAGCAAGAGAGAGAGAGAGATAGAGACTGCAGCATGAAAATAAACGACACCCAAACACAGTCAAGATTCAGCCAGTTATAATATCAGTGCACATTATGTCAGGGACCCCAGGGAGTAGAAGGTTCAATTATTATTTACTGAAAAGGATCCAAATCAGCACTACATGAACTTGTAGTGTGAATACATGCAGCTGTAATTAAAGGGATGATCAGCTATCTTCTGGAAGACAGGATGATTAAACTTTAAGAAAAACTGTCCAAGGTCTCCAGCTTTTACCAATAAAGTGAATACAAAAATAGAAAAAATCGAGTTGAAGTGTCCAGTGTACCCCATTAAAATGGTCAATAAAATCATTTTAGCTTTGTATTTAACCCAATTTAACTTTAAACTTCTTGGTAAAGAGCAAACTCCCTGTCCAATTTTCACATTTCCACCATCACAGCGAATGGCTAATGAGGTCCTCTCCTCCATACATAAACCATAAAACAAAAAGGCAGCGCAGCGATAAACCAGCTCAGAGGATGAGTGGTCCACATGCAGCTGCTCTCAGATCCCTCCACAGAAACGAGTCAGATTGGGAGTAATATCAGCTTCCTTTGACACATCAACTACCAGGTCCAACTACCAGAAAACAACAAAGAGCTCATTAAAACATAAACCAAAAAGAAAGTTTTATTAGGTGCTTAACATTTTTGGATCAACGATTCAATACAATTAAAACGATAAAGAGGTCTTGAGATCATTTTAAAGAATAAGCAGCTCCATCTGCCAGCACGTGGAATAAGTAATGTGAAAGGTTAATAAAAGTTTTTAATCTATTCATGAGCATAGCTTCAAACAGCAATTTGTATCACACATATTGAAAATTAATGCCGTTTAATCCAAACAAAGACACAAATAACCAGACCCGGCGTAAACATGCTATTGAGAAATAACACTTCTAAGAGTAAATCAGAGTAAATCTTATTGAAACTTGAGTTATAAGCCAGTACCATCTAAGCCTTACACCCATTTTAAAATAGAGCATGATTCACTCTTTCCAATCAGCAAGATGTGTTTATTTGCAGATCAATGATGTGAGATCGACTATTTTGTACTGGTGCAAACAACATAAACAAAACAATTATGGCTCATCTCTTTATAACTGAGTAAGGGTTCGTTCCCCACAAGAAATTACACACTCGATAGGAAACATGTGTGCATGTGCAGAGTGGCAGTTAAGTCCCACTGTACACATGCAGCAGAAATACTTAGGGGTGTATTTAATGCGAACCACCAGCAGAGGTCTTGCAGTTAGAAAAAACAAAAACACTGTGGCTTCCCTCTCATTCATCGAGGAGGGGCAGAGCATGCAAACATTAAATTGTGAACTGCAGCACGGAGGTGGGAAGGCTGCATTTATCCTTGAGCAAGCAGAGCTGGTATTTAAACCAGACCCTTGACTTCCAGCAACATTCATTCCCATTGCCGCGGAAACATACTGCAGAGGGCTGACAGCTGATTAGACTGATGGATCACTGTGAAGTGCAGCCATTACTACAGTTATGAAAGCCTTCTTCACTCTGGCCTCATCTCTCACACAGCCTCTAAGTGAAACTGAGAGCAGGCTGCGTGGAGCAGGAATGGAACAGAAAAGGAAGGAGAGCTTCATCTCGTCTTTAAATGTAACTAATGACCTTTTCGAACACTGGTGACAAACAGGACAGTGTTTTGCCCAAAGCGTGTTGATATTGTTTGTGTCTTGACACACAGAGTAATACGTGCCAGTGTAGTCTGCAGTAAACTGTTGGTGGTGGTACAAAATAAGATGAAGTGGGGAAGGACACAGTGCGCCCACTCTAAACGATGTACCGTAGGCTTAAAAAAGCGTTTTCATGGCATGCGAGGGCAGCACCTGAGAAGCAATACGCCCTCAACACTTACCCAGATTTCATGTGAAATTTCCCAGCTCGATTTTTACCGGGGTTTACTTAAGTGAGTTCAGAGTAGGGTTACACACAGATTCCAGCCGACCCATTCTTATTAATTCATTCATGAGGCGGCTGTGGTACAGCCATTCTTTAAGGCTTACGGACAAAACAGTGATCAGCTTCTTTCCTTAAACTGAGTGAATAATGTTCACTTTAAAACACATCATATGTATAAATCCATAAAAATCCATTGTCTCTTACAGTAAGCGAACCAAACCTCACAAGTTAATTAAATGCAAACAAAATCAAACCTTTCAGACTTCAAAAATGATAAAGAGGAATAACAACAACATGGTGAAAATAAAAAAACACCTTCTACCTTCTTAATAAAGCTAACCGTGAGGAACTCATTTGCTTCCACCCATGTTGTGTCTAATGGAAATTTAATTTAAGCAGTCATTTCTAAAACATGGCAAAGTGCATAGTGATGTGACATAAAGACTGAATGAACACTCTTCATCATCTGTCTTAAGCTAAAATTTTACAGATAAGAGCAAAACATGGGCAAAAAAGTCTGCACTGTAGGAAGGCACAGATACCCAAAGCTTTAACCACACTCAGGCACATTCCTTGTGTGGTAACTCCGGGGATGACATTAAACTAGTGAGATGAATGTGCAATATTAATCACGGCTGGTGTACATTATTCAAAGAGAGACTTGGCACAGAATTCAAATATTTGTTTAGGCAGGAACAGCTGAGGATGGAGTGTGGGAGTGGACTCCCACAGAAGAGTTAGTTGTGCAATAAAGGCAGCGTATCCGATCGGTGCAACAGTCTATGCAGCTTTCTCCATCCCACAGACAGAGAGCTCACTGGCTATGCACACTATGTGAGGACATTTCATTTGTACGAAGTCCTTAATATCTCAGATCCCTGTCTAATCTGACGGGTCTGATGTGCTAAATTTCAAAGATGTCAGTACTATTTGAAGAAGTCGAGATGACCTGGGTGCTATTTATATCTGTTAGTGCCCCATCTAGCAGTCGTGCACTCTAGTCATGATGGCTAGCAGAGGGAAGCACATGAACCACCACACAAGATTAAAAAAGGGTTCAGCATAGTGGAGGGGGTTTCTGAGGGCAACCATGGAGGTTCTTCACACTGCACTGATGTGGCATAAAGGCTATATAGACTAATGGTTTCTACAAGCGCCAGAAATGGAAATGAACATAAGAGGAAACCACTGCAGATCTGTCCCAGATGAGCAAAAAAAAAGCATTAATTTATACAGAAAGGGTTGTAAATCTGCATATTTAACAGCCAGACACTCTACTGCCAATTATTATCACTCACTACAAGATCCTTGCGAGCAAGGGAACATCAAAGGCTCATACCTGAGGAGCAAAAATCTGTTTCTGAGCTCAAGAGGGCCAGATGATAACTGTAATAATTTAAGATCCTACCAAGAGAGTCAGTGGAAAACCCAAACTGCTCAAAGGTGACCACTGTGGGACACGTGAGAGGTAAGAGAGACAATAATCAGGAGAGCAGGGTATCCCTGCAGCCTGTCACTTAATCGAAAACTTTGCAACAACTAGTGAAAATAGCATTCCACCTGTGAAAAAAGGCTTTGGCTGCAATGTTTCCATGGATCACTTTCATGGGGGTGTGAATGAAAACACATTTGGGCCATGTGCCTACAGAAAAGATGGGGAAAAAGTTAAAGGACAGATGGCTGCTTGTTTGGATGTGGTTAATGGCTAATTCAAAAGATCAAATTTGTAACAATCTGTTTCAGGAAACTGTACACTGGTCCAAAGTCCTCTGTGGACACTTGAACATGGTACTCTAAAAGCTCCCAGCTGTAGAGCATTTGAGCAGAGTGATGTCTTCCAAGAGCTGCCTAATCACTAAAGACCATCTTGAAAACAACTGGGCCGTGCACTTCCCACTAAACTGAAGTAGAAAGACAAGAGAGGCAGAGAGAGGAGGGC